TTTATTGGCAAATTCATGAACCTTTTCCTTAGAATCCGTATTCTTGTTAATAAATGTTCCGTACTTGGAGCAGTCTCTTATCCGAACTTTGGAGGATTTATGCAAACCATTTCATCTACAATAATTTATGCATGTACCCTTGACACTCCTTTGTCTTTAGTAGTAATTATATCACATCCTACAAAATATTTTTACATTTAATAGGAGACGAAGAAGAACATCGATTACATGCCAGAAAAACGGTTAAAGAAAACGTCAGATGATGGAAGTTAATATCACATTTGATAACATAGAAAAGGAATAGAGCATGCTCTAAGATGCTTTTTTGGTGCAAAAGTCTCAAATTTATCCAGTTTTTGAATACTCGTGCTCTCCAACCAGTTCCGTGAATTAGGTTTAACTTTTTCGATCAACCAAAAAATATTATCACTTCAAGACGGGGATAATAGTATGGTATATCTGTGTGTGTGTGTGTGTGTGTGTATATATATATACACACATATACATACATACATATATAGTACACATGACGGGGATAATAGTATGGTATATCTGTTGTCCCAATATTTTATAATTGCTCGTACATTGAGATGCAACTTTTATATATAAGAGCTGTTTTGGGCATTTGACTTTTAAAATATCCGCTTTTGGAACATTTGACTTATGGTTATTTTTAGATGATAGTTTCGAATTTTAAATATGATGCGCTGTTATCCCTTTCTCCTTTTTCCCTAGCAGTATAAATTTAAGGAAAAGTTGCAGTTGCTTTTGGAAGCGGGAGGTGCAAAAGTTGTTTACGCCGAAACTCTGGATCCATGTGCCCAGGTATGTTATATATATATATATATATATATATATATATATATATATATATATATCTTCATCTTTAAACCATACTAAAAAATTTAAATCAATCAGTAATTTTTTTCTCATGCAATCCACAAAGTCATTGGTATGTTCAGTAATTTTTTTCTCATGCAATCCACAAAGTCATTGGTATGTTCATATTACTTGTCTTTCGTTTTCATTAATTTTTTCTCATGTGGTCCTTGTAGAATTTAAAAGACAATCTGGTGCGTGTGATGCCAACTGGATTAACAAGAAGCACTAGAATATTGAATAAATTCAATTCTCTGCCTAAGGTGAATGAGACGGATATAATCTCGGCAGTTGTTTCTGGACATTTGGATCCTTCAATTATGGCATCATCATCCGGTAATTGCTCTCCGACCACATATACTAGTATATCTTAAATTGTTTCCTATTTGTAGAATGGATTATTTTTATTTGTTGTAGTACCTTTGGTGTATTCAATGCTCATGAGATAGGGTATTGATGTATTATCATGAGGGGTATATTTGTGATATACACTATGTAGCACGGAAACTTCAACTTGTTAACGTTTCCGCGTTTCGTGTCGGAAACTCGAAGACACTTTCCGGACACCTTATGGGCCATTTTGCAATTTCTAAAAAGTTAGAAACATGTTTGACTAACAAATTTTCAAATATTTTTGTTGCTTCCCTAATTATTTTCAATTGCAAATTGATAGTTGATAGTAAAATTTATTTTGAATCTGTTTGTATGAAAATATAGAAAAAGAATTTATATATAAATAAAAACTTATATGTATTTATATAGCATATTTATAAATAAACCCTTACACTTTTAATATTTACACTTTTCCCCCAAGTTCCCATATCCCCATTTTCGGGACATGTCGTTTCCCCGTGTCCATTTCCTGTTTCCCAGTATCTCCGTTTCCGTGTCCGTGATACATAGTGCCACATCCATTTGCTCCAAGATATCATTAATAGTACCTTAATGATATTGAATGTACCATCTGCTACTGTTCTCTTGTGGGTGTTTAGGATTTCTCTTATAAAAAAACGTGGAATTATGACAGATTTCTACGAGCTAATTACTAGTATAATTGCCTTTTTGCAGTGTTGGTCTCGTCTTCATGTTCGACAGACGAGACAGTGGTAGCGGATTCTGATGTAGAATTGGAAACTGCCACGTCAGCTCACAAATCTGTGGTGGTGAACTTAGTCGAGTCCGCTGAAGATGAATGCGAGAGAAATACAGCAATCCACGAGGCGGAATCTTCCGGAAAAGATTGCAAAGCGGAAGATGTTCATATTTCAGAATCCGCCGAGCGCAACAGTTTTGTAGGGAATACAGCTGCATTCAAAACTAGCGAACACGAGAGCCGAGGATTTTTACCTCTTAATCGGAATACTTTTAAACCTGTCAAGACTGATAGTGTCAACAGTATTACTTCATTTGATGACAGAAACGAAGTTACTTTGTCGAGAAAGGATAAGGGCCATTCATCGGAAAGCGAAAATATTGATGTAATATACAGCCAAGATCTAATTGTTCGAGTGTCTAAAATACCCCAATCTGCTCGTTCTTCTTTGAAAAGTTGTTCACTAGTAGACTTCAAACTTTTCAGGAAGGTAATTGACCCGGTGTTTAAATCTGTAAATAATGACTTAGTTGTTATATATGCCCACATACATTTTTTTTTCATTTTCCATTGGATTATTAAATTGTTTTATATTGTTGATCTTGATTTTCGATTAGACGAGTACTCCATCTGGAAACATCTTCAGCAATCTTATTCCGTTTTCAAAGTATCCATACGGGTATGGTTCAATTCTCTGCTCCATTTCTTCTTATCTAGTCTTTATACGATTTAACACTATTTATCTTTTGTAGAGATTCTGAATATGGGAATGAAGATGTGGCTGAGTCTGTGAAAGAGGAGAAAAAACGGAAACAAATGGAAGCTATTGCAGATGACTTGTTTAACACTGAGAAGGTCCGTACACGACAATATATGACTAATCGTCCTAAAATTTCATTCGCCTACTTACCAATATTATATTATGTGATGCAGGGAAGAAAGCGTGCTGCAACTGGTTCTCTTCGTGGGCTTTTTACTCGTGCTTAGTTGAGAGGTATGCAGTGTGTATACTTGTTAGTAGTAAATCAAAGTATAATTCACGTGCCAAACACCGATTGTTCATATCTTGTCGTAAGTTGCATTTGTCACTTGTGTTTTTGCTCAATGCAAAAAAGAATGACGTTCTATATGTGTATCTGTCTATATATATATATATATA